CAGCCAGACACTAAAAGAAAATTAGTACAAAATGTTCTCCAGATGGTATATAACTCCAAAGGTTATTGAGAAAGCACCTAAAAACAGTGGACATGCAATAAAGCAAAAAAATTGAGGGCTGAGATTCATGCGGATATGGAGAAAATTGTGAAATGTACATTTAAGGAAAAACCTGAAATATTACTTTTGGGACTTAAAATGGAAGACGTCAACATGGTGAAAAGGACTTTGATGTGGTACATAATCACAACTGCTAGAATGACATATGCTCAATGCTGGAAGCAAGACAGAACTCCCGAAATTGGGGAGTGGATAAAGAAATTACTTTTTATGGAAGAAATGGACAAAATGACAAGAAAGCTTAAAAATCTGGAAGCAGAAGAATTTTTCGCAGACTGGATAGACTTTAAAGAATATTTAGAAAAATATTGGGATGTAAAGAACAACTTAATTTGCTTTGATAACTATTGAAAAAAGAATGATATTAGAAGAAGGATAAATGTATAAGAATAATAGTTGAAAGATATGTTACCTGTAGAATGTGATTAACAAGTAAGGGGGGAAAGGAGAGAATTTAAGATGTGGGCTGGAGGTTGGAGCACTGTGGGAAGTCAAAAGGGGTGGGGAAATAGGAGAAAATGATGTATAACAATTAGTAGTATGATGTATGTTTGACCTCCTAATATATCCTAATAAATTGTTTTGGGGGAAAAAAAAGAGAAAGCACATAAAAACTACAAAGGAAAATCTGGAAATGTCAAGATATAGACGGGGCTTTCTTTCATATGTGGTGGACTTGTAAAAAAGCAAAAAGATATTGGAAAGAAATACATTGAAAAATGCAGAATATATTAAAGTGTAAATTCCTGATGGAAGCAGAGAGCATGCTATTAGGTGTTCTGCCTAACAAATTACCAAAATTTTTAGAAGAGCTATTTAAATTCATGGTGACAACTGCTAGAACTATTTACGCAGCAAAATGGAAACTAGACTTCTGTCTATGCTTAAAAGAATGGGAAAATAAACTTGCTGTACCTGTGGGACCGCAAATAATGGCAAAATTTACAACCTATTTGAGAAACAGGTCTGTTTTTTTGATCAGACAAGCACGGTTAAGAATTTTTTTGTGAGAATCACAAGATATAGAAACTTACAGATTCCGTCCTAAGTCAACATTTATACCTCCCCATTCTAACCCGTCTATTACTGTTTTTGAGAAACACATTCTCAGGGAGATCGAGAAATTGGAGGCTTCTGGGAGATTTAGGGTTTATAACTTTTCCCGCAATGATTGGATCACTCTAAGATCTTTGGCAGAAGACTCGTCCATTTGTTATTAAACAAGCCGATAAAGGTGATTCAAAACACACAGGATTACTATGCGAAAGCTGAGAGGCAATTGAGTGATACAGCATATTATACTCCTCTCCCAAAATATTCTGGTGCTCGTGGGGAGGGGAAAGTACAGCGGTGGGCCCAGGCAGTATAGTAAGGGAAGGACACTGAGAAATAAAATGGCTCGGTGCCCTTCCAGCCTGCGGCCCATCCCAAGGGTTGCTGGCAGTGGGGCCAGGATTGAGAACCCCCATCCGTCATTGGTGCTGTGCAACGCCAGGTCTATCAATAATAAGACCACAGTCCTTCGGGACTTTGTGCTGGAACAACGAGCTGACCTGGCGTGCATGACCGAGACCTGGGTGTGGGATGGGGAGACCGTGGCTCTCTCCCAGCTTGCCCCACTGGGTTTCTTGGTCCTCCACCAATCACGGATGAGGGGGCGGGGGGAGGAGTGGCTATCTTCATTCGGGAGGCTTACTCCTTCAGGGCACTCCCACCTGCGGAGATCACGGGCTTGGAATGTGTCGGCCTGATGCTGGAGGCTGAGGAGAGTTTGGCAATCTGGCTGGTGTACCGATCGCCTAACGCACCGGCCAGTAGTCTACCGTCCCTGCTGGAGGCTGTATCAGGCTGGGCATTGGAGCACCCTAGGCTGGTAGTCATGGGTGATTTCAACGTCCATGCCAATGACACGGCTTCCAGCCGGGCTACAGACCTAGTGTTGTCCATGGCGGCACTTGGACTCTCTCAGTTTGTATCAGGTCCCACGCATCGGGCCGGACACACGCTCGATTTGATCTTCACAACGGGGTTGACAGTGGACCGGATTACTGCAGAAACAGTACCATGGTCAGACCACTATGCACTGAAGGCCCATCTGAATGTTCCACCCCAACCCTGTTTAGGCGGCGAGCAGATTTTAGCTCAA